GCCTTGAACTTGTGATCCTTTTGCTTCAATCTCCTGAGTGGCTGGAATTACAAGCGGGGACCACCCCACCTGGCCCTTCTTCAACACACAGTAATCTCTGAAAGGATGGAGCACATTTGTTTTGTTGATTATTAAGTAACAGATACCTAATATTATTGCCTGTCATGTAGTCACTCAATAAGTTAACAAGTTGGAGTCTTCAATGAATGAATACACACACCAAGGATAGTTTTTTTTTCCCTCTGAAGCTCACATTTTAGTGGAGAGCACATTACTTATCTATGTGATAAGGGCTCTGATGAAGTAAGTAAGAAAGTCAGGCCTGGGGCTATAGCTCAATTGGTAGAGTGCTTGCCTTGCATGCACAAGGCACTGGGTTCTATCTCCAGCACCATCAAAAAAAGAAAGGAAAAAAAAAAGTCACCTAACCAGGTTCTGATAAATAAGGAAGATTTTATGAGATAAAACTTAAGCTGAGGTTTAAAAAAAAAAAAAAGAGTGGGAGTTATAAAGGAAGAATGAAATATTTTCCACAAAGAATGCAGGTTATGCAAAGGTGAAAACTGGCCAGATTGTAGGCTATGGATGTGGGAGGTGAAAAAGAAAATGATAGGAAAGGGACAGATATGCTATGCAAGACATTTGTATTTTTTCCTATGCATTGTGAAAACTAGTAGTAAAGTTTAATAAATAACAGTATGTGTTAAAATGAAACTGAAAAACACTAAAATAGAAGTTAGGATGCTGTGTTACAGTAATTGAAAACAGCCAGAATTAAAGCAGTAAAAGTGGGATGAGCTTGAACAATATATAAGATAAAAAATGACAACTTGTTGATATGGTGGGTAGGATTAGTGGAGTATGGCTTCTAGGTTTCTCATGTAGAAAGCTAGGTAAATAATGGTGTTGTTCATTGTGAAAATAGGAGAAATGTGGTTAGAATGGGAAGAAAGTTCAGTTAAAATATCCATTTCTTTTAATCATTTCTTCCCCTTGGATTTTTGGTTTGGATGTTATTTTGGTTATATGTAACCTATTTTGTGAGTAATAAGTTAACCAAAACTTAGTTACTTGATATAACAAGAATTGGTTTTCTTTGTTTTGCAAGTTAGGAGTCCAGGTGCAACTTAGCTGGGTGCCTCTGGCTCAAATCCTCTCGTGAGTTGCAGTCAAGCTGTTGACTGGGGCTTAGTCAGGTGAAGACTCAAGTGGACTTGGAACATGCATATACTTCCAAGAAGGTTCATGTATGTGGGGTAGGTGGAAGGCCTTGGTTTCTCGTTGGTGGCTGGCTGCAGTGTACATGTACCTCTTCATACATCTGCTTGAGTGATAGCTGGCTTATCCCAGAGTGAGCTGTACCATGGAAAGACTAAGGAGGAAGCCACAGGGTCTTTTATCATCTTGTCTTGGAGGTCAAACACTGTCCCTTGTGCCATATTTTCCTTTTTATAAATAAGTCACTAAGTCCAGTTTTGAACTCCATCTCTTAAAGAGAAGACTTTGAAAATAATTCCTGAACATCTTTTTAAACCACCATATGTGCCATGAAAACTTCAGGGAGATAGAAGAAGAATTAGGCTTAGGGTGGAAAGAAAAGAACACTTTTTAAAGGTGAGTTTACTTGCAACATGTTACATTTGATGTAGAAATAGGTGATATGTTATAGGTAGTTGGTAAGCTAAGTCTTGAACTCAAGCAAGAAGCCTCATCAGTACAGATTCAGGAGTCACTGGTGTATCTGTGATTATTGAAATCATAACAAAGTGTAAGATGACCCAGCAGAAACAGGTGGAATGAGGAAAGGGCTGTGGATGGAACCATAGGGGAAACCATACAAGTTCATTGAAAGGAGAAGTTTCATTGATGTGGCTAATGAGAAGTCAGACTTATAAACTTGAAAGAATAAGAATGCAAGGTGAAAACAATGGACTCCTTCACTGCCAACTGATCCGCAAAACTTGGGAATGGTTTTTGTGATTTAGATTTTTGTCAACTGCAGGGAGTTAACCAGTTCATTTTTAATTCTTCTGTATTCTGAGTTTGGACACCATGAACATTTTGAAAATATAAGAAACAGTAAGCTTGAGTAAAGATAGGAGAGAGCTAATTTTTTTATAATTTTTTATCAGTGTGCTAAATCTATAATTCCTAATGGATATGATGTAAAGATATTAAGATGTTTGCTATACACTATGTAAGTGGTACTTTTTAATCAAACTCAAAGTATTTGATATGAAGCTTTATAGAGTTTGTCTTTGAGATGTAGAGATAAAGGGATTTATTTCATTGATCTTTCCACTTCCTGGGTTCCCTTGTCTAATGTCCAGACTATTTACCAAGGTAAATAATGGCAGACACACTGAAGGTATGTATGTGGGGTTTGTTTCTGACCTGCCATGCAAAGTCAAGGCTTAGATCTGTTTCTTGGGTGGGTCTCCAGATGGCTATATTAGAGAAATCAACTAGTCAAGGATTTACCTTTGACAGATGTTAAAAAGTGATCAAGTAAGGGTTTATTATTATTACTATACATACATAGAATAATGTGGTTATTCTCTCAGGAATGGGGTGGAAAATCCTGAGTGTAAATTGATTGCTGTTTTGAAGAACCCTAAAGATTCTATGATAAGTGGGTTGAATTTCTCTTTCCCTTTTCTGAAGAATCTACATTTCTTTGGGGGAAAGGAATCTTTACTACATGTCCTATCCTAGGTTTTGATTATCTAAAAATATACAGCACAGAAAAGTGTGTGTGTGTGTGTATACACACACACACACACACACACACACACACACATATATATATATATATATATATATATATATATATATATATATATATATATATATATAAAATCTTAAGATTCACACTTCAGTAGGGCAAAACCACACAGATGCCATAGGTTTCCAGGCCCTTCCAAGCACTACATTAACATCTCCTCTAGCTGCCTTTACCACTGTACCTGTTGCCTGCATGCTTTTGCACATGAATCAATGGCTACTTGGGTTTATTATCACCTATCAAAACCTTGCCTGTCCTGTATGGAATTGATAATGTATTTTGAGCAATCTGTTGGATATAATGTATTATATTTCTCTCTGGGAATTTAAAAGTAAATAAGGTTGATTTCTGCCTTAAGGTCATGTGCTAATGTAGTTGAGGAAATAGTTATGCACAATTAATTATGATACACGGCAGAATGTTCAAGTTACACAGTACAAAGGAATAAGTAAAGGGGATACCCAGAAATGAAAAAAGCATAGTAGAAATGGCCTTTAGGCTCTTTGAAAGACAAGTTGTTGCAACACATAACTAAACCAGTCAGAATCATTCCAGGTGAACTGGGCCTGCATGAAATAATCACACAGAGATAGAGATATACCTTTTTCTTTGGGTTCTGTGTCGGCTCCTCTGACTCAGCTCCCACAAAGCAGGCAAGGTGGGCAAGAAAGCATGCCTCGAACTCGGGTTTTATTGGGGGAGACCTTTCCATGGAATACTCTATCCCAAAAGGGCAAAGAGGTAGGATTACAAAGGAATAGGTGAGAGTAACTCAACCCCAGTGGGTGACGCCTACTCCTGGAGCCACACCTTGTTATCTGAGGTAACACCCGGTTTACTGCGACCTAGTATGGCCATGCCAGACTGAACACAAAAAGTCTTCAGAACTCGGCGTATCAGGACTCAAAAGCATCTGCATCCAGCAGCTCCCAACAAGTAAAACATCAATGTAGACAAAAAGGAAATAGAGGATTACCGCATGAAGGAAAGTCATGAAAGATGCTGGTTTTAGGAAATAGCAAATATATAACAAGCAAGGGAGTGGGAGATAAGGTTGGAGTGGTAAGCTAGATCTCAGTTGTAGAAGGTATTGAGTGTTGTATCCAGATAGTCTAACTTGATTTGAAATCACTGAAACAATGAAGTCTTTTCAAGTAAAGTGTTGTTAGAAGGGTTGCAGTATAACAGATTATTTTGGGAGGAGAAAGATGAATGACAAGTGTTAATTGTACAAATAGGAGGTGGATACAAAAGCATAGATTGGAAAGCTGTTTAAGAGGTAGCAGATAATAGATTGACCTCATCCCCAGAATGAGTATTTAATCGTGTAACATTGTGTCACAAGTGAGAATAGACACTGTGCTAGGTGCTGGGAATATAAAGATGACTTAAAAGACCTTGTTTTCAAGTATTTGTACTTTCATAAAAAGTGATATCTAAACAAGAACCCCCAAAATGTAAGTTTTGTAATTAGTTTATGTAATGTATAAGGATTGGGAAGATACAGGAACTGCTTCTACCACTTCTGTGGTAATACACACTTGGAAAGATGGGCTAGCATGTGGTAATACACACCTGGAAAGATGGGATAGCATGTCTGACATCAAATTGGCCTTTTCCTTTTTTTTTTTTTTCCCTTCCCTCTTTGCAGAGGATCGAATGAATCCCCTTTCAAACTTCATGTGTTGGAAATTTAATTCCCAAAGCAACAGCACTGTGAGGCACGGGCTTTGGGAGGTGTTTAGGTCATGAGTGGATTAAGCTATTATAAAAAGGACTGCAGGAGTGGGTTTGCCCTCTCCTGCTCTTCTCCACTGTGTAGGCTCAGTATTCACCCTTTCCTTCTCTTCCAACTTCCCCCACATGAGGACACAGTAAGAAGAACCATTCTTGTTAGGTTCAGAACAGGCTGAACTATGTTATCTGCAGAGCAGGCTGAACAAATGTTAGCTGCAGGATGGCCCACGCACTCAAACCCCTGCTCTGTCTGGTCCTTTATCACCTGTTTACGTCAAAGCTGAACATTCAACCCCCACTCAAGGCTGAACACTCAACCCTCCCTTGTGCCAACAAGGCAGCTTGCAGACCCAGAGGCCCCGTTAGATTTGGGCTATAAAAACTCCCTCCTGCTGGGCCCCTCTCTTGCTCTCTTGCTCTCTTGCTGTGTCTCTCTCTCTTGATCTCTCTGTCTCCCTTGCACGCATGCTCTTCTCTCTCTCTCTCTCTCTCTCTCTCTCTCTCTCTCTCTCTCTCTTTTCTCCTCTGTTGCACTGCTGCAAAAACATCTCTTGGTCGCTCCGAGTGCTGTGGTCACTTTCCTTTCATTGGTGCCGAAAGAGGGTTAAAACCCACTTTTCGGTCCCTCTTCCTTCTGAAGTGCCACTCACCAGATGACCTGAACCCATTTTCTCGATTGCCAGAACTACTTCCACCACCGGCCTTCAATTGGTGAGTTGCCCCTTTCTGGAGTCCTAAACCCAATGGAGGTGTCAGGAGGATTTGACCGTTGATTGTCCAGCAAACCTCTTTGCCCACCTGCGGTGAGGAAAACACCCCACCACAGCCTTCAAGGCCACGGTGGTCCTCAGGGACTCCTTCCTAGGGCAGAATAGACTCTTAGATTCAAACTTATTCCCTTCCCTTCCCAGCTATTAGTTTACCAGCACAGGCTTTGTAGGTCTTCCTCGAAGGACTCTGTAACCTCCAGAGACACACAACAGAGAACTGAACATCACCCCACCCATACCTTCATGGTTTTGGTGGCTCTCATAAAGTCCTAGTCCTCTCACCTTCAAGACTCGGCCGCTAGAGAGACACTTACCCTCCCCTTCCTCTCTCTTCTCCTGTCTCTCTCTTTCCCCTCTTTCTGGCCCTGGGAGTATCCGGCCTCTCCAGGAGGGGTCCCAAAAAGCCTTGGTCAAGGTCTCCCACAGCTCCGGCTCCGGCTCCGTCCAGGACGAGAGCTTCAACTGTCAGGATTCGGTGACTACCAAACCCTGCAGCTCGGACCTGCCACTAAGGCACTCCTGATTTTTGGCTCTAGCGGAGATGCCCCTTTTGCCAATAAATCAGTTTCCTCCTTCTCTCTTATACTATCTTTGCATTCCTTCCCTCTCCCTTATACTACGTTTGCGTCTCCTTCCTTCTCCCCTATACTACTTTGCGTCCTCCTCCCTCCTCCTTATACTACGTTTGCGACATGGGTAATGTGTCCTCTCTGCCTGTCAACTCTCCCCTACAATGCCTCTTGGATAACCTCAAAACCCTCTCCTTGACACCAGACATCAAACCCAAAAAATTGATCAAATATAGCACCCAGGCCTGGCCCACTTATCCCTTAAACAACCAAAACAGATAGCCCCCTTTTGGGTCCCTGGATCCCTCCATTCTAAGGGATCTCTACAATTACTGTGAGCATTCCAAAAATTGGTAAAGATGGCTTATGTCCAGGCTTTCTTCTTGCTCTGATCCAATCCTGCTCTCTGCACCTCTTGCAAACCTCTGCAAATTCTTCTAGCCTACAAACCAACACCCACAACCACTGATCCCCAATCTTCTCCTCCTCTGGACTCATCCACTTCTTTTGACCTTGCTGAGGAACCTCCACTCTATCACCTGGCTCAAAAAGGTCCTCACCCTCAACCTTCTGCCCCAGCCCCTCCGTGGTCACCCCCACCACCTCAGCAACCTGATTTCTCCCCTCCAATTACTAGATCAAAAACCCAAACCTCGGCCGGTTCTCAGACCATTGCTCCCTTACTGAGGTAGCAGTTACTGAAGGAATCCCTCCACCCACTCACTCCTCTCTTCTCCTGTCAGTGCCCACACCGGGTCCCACCAGGTCCTCTTACCAGCTAACCCAAAGCTCAAATGAGCTGAGGAGAACCCTCAGACTCCTATCCAAGATCTGGGATAAAATGGCCTTTAAAGTTGCTTTGTCATCCCTGAAAACAGGTTACTAAGAATTTGAAGTCCCTTACAGGCTTTTTGGGATATTCACTCCCATCCTGTTCTACTGCTCAAGTTTTCCTTGCTAGGGAAAATCCTATTCTTTTACATCACTCCTTCCTCATTCTCAGATCCACCATGGAGCTGCTCTCAGCCCTGCCTTCCAGTTTTCCCCCTCCCTACCCAGGCCCACAGAAAAGTCATAACTGACCTTCTCCAGAAATCTTCACCGTGGCTGATTTTAGGACTTTCAGCAAAAAAATCTCTACAAAAGAGTTTAATGTAGATAAACTTCCTCTTTTCATATTGCCCTGTTTTACTTGGCCACTGGCTGAAAAAATCAGCACTCCAAAAGCTAGACACCCCCCTTACTAGTTTTTCACAAAATATGTGAACAAGACCTCTGGCCTTGAGCTGGGGCTTCACAGAGATGGCTACATTTCTAAGATAAGGAAGTTACCAACTGGGCTCCATGGTAACAGCTGGCAGGGGGAGGAAAGAAAGGGAAGAAAAAGCTCTCCCCTTCCCAGGTGTCCTTGAAGGGTTAACTTGCCCAGAACAGAGAAAAAAAACAACAACAAAAAACAAAATAAAACTGCTTTTTGTGAACTTCTGCAGACTCTGAACTTCTGAACCCCTCCCCTTACATGTTGGGTACAAAATTCTGAAACTACCTAAACTTGGGGTTCAGGGGATTAATTGATTACAACAGAAGCAGTGCGCTCTGAATCTGGCTGCAACCAAATAAAACTGTTTCCCTATATTCGCTGCTATCTTAGGTGCCTTGCCTTGTCCATCCCTACAACAATATAATTCTATATACTTAAACATTGTTCATATTTTCATGAAATGGTCAACAGATGTGATTAATTGTGTGCTGCAAATAACAAAATATCTCTTATTAAAATGGAATAATTTGCCTAAGTCCAGAAATTTACAAGAATTGTTTCAAAATGTGAATAAAGAAGGAGTTAACAGATAGGAAAGAGAAATTAGAAGGTTCTAGGTATGGATTTAATAGAAGGAAAATGTGTTTCTGGATAAGAGAGTCTATTAAGTAAATAAGAGGGTTTAAGCAAGTGATAAAGAAGGTCTGTGTACGTTGGCTATATAGGTGTAAGTAAGTGCTAAAGAAAGTCTGTGTATACAACTATGGTTAAACAACAACTGTTATTTTACAATATTGTAATATGTTATTTCTTTAAGAGCTAAACTTGATTAATATAAAACATCAATGTAATTGTGGTACTATTACTCTTCTTTGTGTATTAAATGTGTTCATATTTTCCAGGTATATAAGTCTTTAAGATAGAAGCTTTAAAAAAAATTATATCAAGCTGGTGTTCTCCAAAAGGTTGCATGGTAATTTTAGGCTTATAAAAATAACATATTGGAGATTTATTTATATCACTTAATGTTCTATAACTGGACCTGTTATCAATAAGATTAATATAAAGTTCTATAAACTGGGTACAATTTAAATGTAATATCATATTGTATTAGTTAGTATTCATGTGACATCAAGCAACAATATATGTAAACTTTATAAAATGATATTTAAAAACAAAGATCAGTTCAATAATAGAACACTTTACCTAAGATTTATAAATCTTAGCCTTACCTGAGATAAGGCTCTGCCTCCCATCTTACTATATGTCAGAATGACTCCAAAGTAGGCCAGACTTCAGCTAAAGCCCAGTACTCTTAATTTAAGGTGAAACTGACTTTGCTGGATGTTTATGATCAAAACTTAAATTAAAATGGCCAAAAAAACTAATATTTCGCTCTTACCCTCTGAGTCAGTCTGAAATCCAGGGAACAGGGAACTTCTCTAAAGAGCTTTGCAACTCTGGGCCACATAACCTCCTTATCAGGGAGATTAATGAGACCACTAGAGAATGAAAAGCCAATCAGTGCACTTGCTGTGAATAGGAGGGACATTGGAGATAGGAGACATCCCTGATGCTTCCAAGGGAAGCCACATGGTCAAACAAGACCTAGACCCATCCTAGCGCAAATGGCACTAACAGAACTAAGAAGCTGTTCTCAAGTTCCCCCACAGGTGACCTCTATGGGAACACAGCTGACTCTTAACAATAGATAAAAACAAAGTCAATTTTGACCAGCTTGATCTTAAACACCTACCAAAAACAGTTAAGCCAAAACACAGTCGTTCCTGGGAGTATTGAAGGACAAGAACAGCTAGAAAAGAAGAGACAGCAACTAGGCCAACAGGCTCCATGGGGAATGTTCAGTCAATTATGGCCTTGGCTCCTCCCCCTTACAGGACCCCTGTTAGTCCTCTTTATGTTTCTCCTAATAGGACCATGTATGTTAAATTGTCTACAGAAGTTCCTGCAAGATCAGATATACAAATTCACCAACCAGTCGGTCCACTTCTTTAAGACTACCAGACCTGATGCCCAAGACAGAGACCCACGACTCATGACCAACTCCTCTGGCTCCAGAGACTCTGCCCATCTAAAACCCTCTCTAACCCCTTTTTTCCAGTTTTCACAACCCCTCTTTCACTTCATAGGAATGAGAACTACTCTCCAGCAGGTCCACTGTGCTTATTCTGTCTCCTCTACAGTATCCCCACAAGGAAATATCAAACCTAAACTCCCCACACCTCAGATGAGGAGCCACTAGCCAGGCAAAGACTGGTAGATCAACTTCACTCATGTGCCTAGGCACAAAAAGCTTAGCTACCTACTTACTTTGGTTGATACTTTTCCACGTTGGGTAGAAGACTCCCCTACATCCAGGGAGATTGCTAACACTGTCACCTCCATCCTCATCCAGCAAATCATTCCCAGGTTCGAACTTCCTGCCTCCATCCAGTCAGACAACAGTCCAGCCTTCACTTCTCAGGTTGTTCAACTAGTCTCCAAAGGTCTCAACATCACTTGGAGGCTCCACATCCCCCACCAACCCCCAATCCTTGGGTAACGTTGAGAGGCCTAACGGCATTCTCAGGGATCATCTCACTAAACATGCTATTGAACTCAGGCTCTTCTAGCCCAATCTCCTGCTGTTGGCCCTCACCTGAATCAGGCAGCCCCAAGGACCCCCTCAGGCCTTAGCCCCTTTGAGCAATTCTATGGGTGCCCTTTCTTAATCAACCAAAGCTTTCCAATCACTCCTCCTCCCCTTGTGTTCTATCTGCCTAAACTCACACTTCTATGCAAACTCCTAAGGGAACATGCAGACTAGTGTCTTCCTGTTCCATTCATTGCCTCAATCCCAGCACAACCACAAACTGAATTGAACCCTCTTCAACTGGGTGACTCAGTCTTACTTCAGGAACTGCATTCTCAATCGTTGGAACCTCAATGGACAGGACCCCATACAATAATAGTTACTACCCCAATGGTGGCCAAGCTTTTGGGCCACTCTCCCTGGTACTATGTCTCCTGCCTTAAAAAAGGCACCTGTTCCAAATTTCCAGTCCTGGACTTCCACCACGACCACCAAACTCAAAATTTCTCACCAACCCTCTTCTTCTTCTACTAATCATTATTCTCTCTCAAATTTTTATCTCAAACCACAGATGCCGCTTCTACATCCAAGCAACATGGCACCAGGATGACACCACCCACTCTCAGTTTATGGGTCAAGACGATTGCCCTTCCACTGGCTGCAATCGGGCTGTCACCCTTAACATTATTGGATTCAACCAAGCCACCTCCGATACTTCCTAGAGTCCCTACAACAGGAACAATGGCTGATACTAAAGATCTTCTCTGCTCAGAAATGGTTTGATGCCATTGACAACCAATGGCTTCAAGAAATCTTTATGGACTTTGACCCTTCCGAAATAACTGTCTATAGCCACTGGATGTCATTTCTGGCTGCCATGGTGTTCACAGACCTGTCCCCTGAACATTCCTCCACTTTCCCTTCTAGATTCCACGCCACCCACCATTAAGCAGGAAGTAGCTAGAGGACTTTATGACGTCCCCTGTGTCGCTTAGAAAAACAAAAAGGGAGGAATGTTAGGTGCAGAACAGGCTGAACTATGTTATCTGCAGAGCAGGCTGAACAAATGTTAGCTGCAGGATGGCCCACACACTCAAACCCCCGCTCTGTCTGGTCCTTTATCACCTGTTTACGTCAAAGCTGAACATTCAACCCCCACTCAAGGCTGAACACTCAACCCTCCCTTGTGCCAACAAGGCAGCTTGCAGACCCAGAGGCCCCGTTAGATTTGGGCTATAAAAACTCCCTCCTGCTGGGCCCCTCTCTTGCTCTCTTGTTCTCTTGCTCTGTCTCTCTCTCTTGATCTCTCTGTCTCCCTTGCGCGCATGCTCTCCTCTCTCTCTCTCTCTCTCTCTCTCTCTCTCTCTCTCTTTTCTCCTCTGTTGCACTGCTGCAAAAAGATCTCTTGGTAGCTCCAAGTGTTGTGGTCACTTTCCTTTCAATTCTAGGTACTTGCACCTTGATCTTGGACTTGTCAGACTCCAGAACCGTGAGAACTAAATTTCTGTTCTTTATAAATCACCTAGTCAGTAGTATACTGTTAAAACAGCACAAAACAGATAAGACTCTCACCTTTCCCTTTGTTTGGGCTAGATAAATACATTAAGAATATTGGGAAAGGGAAAGGCAAGAATTAACCTCATCATATTGGATTGGAATTGGAAATATCAGAGTGAGTGCATGGTACTTCATACATCAAGAGAGATGGAAAAACAGTTACAGCTATTCGTGTTATAGGTATGCATATTCCATAATTCACAGAAAAGATCTGGAAGCAGCAGAGGGGCTGAAGCAATTAGCACACCTAGCATCTAGATCTTGGTTTCTAAATCCCATTCATCACTAAAAGAAACAAGAATTGCTTGAAGAAATTACTAATTCTCAAGATTGGGTCAGGGAAAGTACAAGATTAACTGGGAACTCATGCTGCACCAGAAAGTGTCCAAAGAATGATGGGGCATATCAGAAGAACACAGGAGCTAGCTTAAGGGAGTCCCAGGTCAGAGAAAATTAGAGCATCGAATATTATAGAAAGAGTTTGGAATCTTTTGAATAAAATAGGAATCCATCAATGGATGTGTAACTGATGTGAATCTGCAATCTGTGTATGGGGTGAAGGTGGGAGTTCATAACCCACTAGAATCAAAGTGTGGAATATGATATGTCAAGAAATTTGTAATGTTTTGAACAACCCACAATAAAAAATTAAAAAAAAAAAAATAAAAAAAAAAATAAAATAAAATAGGAATCCATGAGTCCATATTGATAAAAATGAATAAATAATTAGGGAAGAAGGAAACAGTCTTTTCTAGAGTAGACTGCCAACCAATAAATGGAATGATAGATATAGAGAAATCACCAATTTTTAACCATTAGAATCATAGTTTAGTAATCAGTAGATGCCCAATGTAATGAGTAAAAATTTGACAACATAATTTGCATAGTCTTACATTATTCATTATTTATTTAATGAGGATAACATAACCTACTAGTTTACTGAGTGCTAACAGAACCTGGAAGAAAGTGTCTTAACCAAGAGAGAAAAAAGTTTGTATCACCAGCAATAAGACAAGTCAATGGAGTGTTTCCCAATATATACCACGAAGAACACAGTACCACTTGTGTGATAGATTCCTGGCAAATAAACAAATCATGAGGAAATACCAGAGAAACCAAACCAAAGGACAGTCTATAAAACAAATGGTCAGTGATCTTCAAAAATTCTCTTTCCCATGAAAGGCAGGAAAACATTCTAGGACCATTCCAAGTTATAGATCACTAAATTAAAAGCAAACAAACAAACCCCTGCATTTAATGAAGGCCACAGAAGTCATCCCCCAAGAAAGAAAAAAGTTTCTTATTTTAGACACATTTTTATAATACTAACTCATTTAATGTTACTCGAGCTCATTTAAGAGCAATGAAAACATACAAACTCACAGTAAACAGTTTGGAAGATACAAAGTTTCAAAAGCTCTTAAAAACATTCTGTCTGGCAGCAAAACTTGTCTAGACCTGAATATTAGTTTCCTATTCTTCCCTGGGAAACAACATCAATAACAGCAAAAAGCTTGTCTCTAATCACTGGTGTGCTGAAAAGAAGAACCCGTTCTTTTATTCAACTCTTGAAGCCTCACTTTCTGCAGATAATATTTTCTAATGCCAAGTACACATCAGTCATCCACAGTTTTACTAACAGGTCTTTCAAAAAGACCTCTATCCAGCTTAAACTGCTGAAACTGAACCATAAAGTTTTCTAGTTTAACCTGTTAGATGGGATTCCAAATAAACAAAGAGTATGTTGTCAAGTAAGAGTTCCACTAACTATAATCACTTCTTGAGATAGTATTTACATTTGTTCCTAAAGTTTTCAACTGAAAGTGAAAAATGGGGATTAAATCCTGGGGTGTTCTGCCACTGAGTTACATCCCCAACCATTTTTATTTTTTATTTTGAGACAGGGTCTCACTAAGTTGCCCAGGTTGACCTCCAACTTGCCATCCTCCTGCCTCAGGCTTCTAAGCAGCTGGTATTGCCACAACCAGCTAGAAGAAAGGATTTTGAATGTTCTTACCATAAAGAAATTATAAATGCTAAAGATGATAGATATGCTTGCCTCGATTTGTACTTTACCCAGTGTATACAGGAATCAAAATATTATATCGTACTCCATAATACAATTTGTGTTATACAATACATAACACATAATGTGTCAATTTAAACAATAAGTGGTAGAGGGGGAAAAAGGCATGAGGCCATAGTGGCACCAAAGTTATATTTCTTGATTAGAAAAATCTTCAAAAATAAAGAAGCTAGAATTTTTTTAAAAAAGAAAGAAATGGATCCAGAATAAAAAAATCAAGTGATTGAGATTTGTTTCTGAGAAAGTTAATATTTCTATATAACTAAGAAGTAGTATGTATTGTATGTCCAGTTTGTATCTCATGGAATTTGTGTTTTACCTTTAACTATTTAGTCTTGGTCCCAATAATATACAAACATCACTTTCACTATTGTGAAAAATAAATAATTGAACACATTTTGCAAGTATAATGTCTGTCCTCTGCCCCACTGAAAGTGATGTGAGTTTTAATTCCCAAGTGCCACATTAGGCAGCTGGAAATAGTTTCTGTCCTGCTCCAATCTTCAGTCTCATGAAATTGCACAATGAGTTAGTTTCTTTTGAGTTCAGAAAGGGTGGTGAGGTAAATTGTGAAATCATAGTACATTAGGCTTAAAGGTCTCTCTATATGTGCATGTTAGGTGCCTAATAAAGTAGTAGGTCAGCCCCTAATTCAGTTTGGCTCTTTTTAATGCTACATTCTAGTGCCTGAAAACTTTTACTCTTAAGGAGCAAGGACTATGTAACTTAGTCAGTGCCTAAGGCCAAAATGTCATTTTGCATACAGGGGAGTGCTGAATTTGCTGTCAGCCAAGCCTTCTGCCTCTCAGGGGCCCGTGCTAAAGTTAATTCACATCTGGCAGCGGGGACATCTTCAGAATGTTAGGACTGTCAGCTGCAACTTCCAGAAGAAAAGAAGTGTGAAAAGTGGAGTCTTAGAAGTAGCCAGCCCAGCGCTGGAGTTTGCTGAAAGAGGAAGTACAAGGAGTGAGGGGAAGAGCACTGAGGTAGGCTGCCAACTCCACCATTTGCTAAAGCGTTATCCTTCCTTGGTCTTCTCATCTGTAACGTTGGAATGAATAGTAAGGCCTTCCTGGTCTAGATACCCAATAGAAAATGGATATAAAAGCTTCTTTTAGGTTATAAGTCACTGTATAAATGTGGAGAATTATCAGATCAAATCAATGAGAGATGCCATTTGGGCTAAAAGTTGAAAAGAGTTTGCCAGACTGGAGAGGAAATTTCAAGCTGAGAGACAAAGTAGGATCAACATTGCAGTGAAGGGAACACACAGGGCGTATTAGTAGACGGCAAGTCTTCCAGGGAGGCTCAGGCCCAGCCAGGTGCCTGTGGCAAGGGGAACAAAAGGAACTGCCATAGTGCTGGGGAGAACTTGTGAATGAGAGGTCTTGGGGTCTTGGTAAAGATGGTGGACATTATCCTGAGATGGAGAGTGATCAAAAGCTGGTTAAGAGGTGGGAGTAGGGGTGGCAACATGGTGAATCTACAATAGCGAGGAGTAGGGCTGTAATAGGGAGAGGTAGGTAGGGGACAGGGTGGAAATGGGGAAAGTCTGAGGGCAGAGAGGTCAGGAAAGGCTGTTTTTCCATTTAAACCTAAAGGCACAGTGACCACTCTTAACTGGAAAGTTGCTCACTCTTGTCTCTTTGGTGCCTAATGAGCCTGACATATTTGAGAGAATGCAGCTAGGCCAATGAGGCTGACAGCACAGATGGCAAGCACATTGGAGTGGGTTGTGTAACAGGGTGGTGAGTCCTGCAGATCCTCACGCAGATGGGTCAGATGTCTCTCCCCCCTTGAGGCCCCAAACCTAAATGGATTCCGGGTTCCTTTCAGAATTTTTTCTTTGGAGAATAAAATTCCAATTTAGAAGGGAATACTGAATCTGGAAAAGGATCATTCACCACACAAGAAAGTTGCTTAAAAAATAGTAGTTGACTCTGTGATACACTCTTTTACCAACTTGGTCTTTTTCCCATTCTTTTAAAACTTGGACTCTAGTATAGAGGGAAGAAAACTGAAATTGAATCAAGCAACTGAGCCCAGTTGCCTAAACCTAAAACCCAAACTGCCTTCCCTGAGGGGCTCAAGATCACAGACCTGACCTGAGCTCCTCAGGGGACTTCAGCATTTATTTTATATTTATGTTGTTGGTTAAATGTTCATAGTACATGCTGCAGCCTTCAAAGGGAAACTTGGGAGAGAGAAATTTTCTTAGAGCTTTTTTGAAGTATGTGGTATATTATTGTTTTCTATCATTATAACTCTATGGTGCATTTTTTTTTCTTCTATCCACACATAACTTAGTACCTGTTGACCAATCATTTCTCACTTTCAGTTGAAAGATACTTGCAGCAGTGAAAGAAAAACTTCCCCAACCATTTTTTTTTTAAAGAGACAGAGTCTCCCTGTGTTGCCCAGACTGGCCTCCAACACCTGGATTCAAGCCATTTTCCCACCTCAGCCATACAAGTGCCTGAGACCATAAGCATACTATGTCTGGCTTTTGTTTTGTTTTGCTCTTGCTTTTTTTTTTTTAGGCAAGTGCTCTACCACTGCGCCACGCCCTTGGGATAACCCCTTTCTAAAGGACAAGTACCTGGGGCTGATGTCTTCATTGGAAACTGCAACACACTTGGCTATTCCCTTGCTCCAAAAAGTGCTGTTCTGAGACTCTTGTTGGTATATGTGTTCATTTTCATAGACATGTCATCATCAAAGATTCCATTTCTCCATACATTTTTGAACATTTTCTTCCCTTCCAAACAAATTAACTTTTAGATAGTGTTTTGAATATTTAGTATCTCAAAAATTCTAAAAGTTTGATCAGATTGATAGATTTCTACTTCAAACCTCATACCAGAATAATCAAATT